TTTGCTGGGCGATACTCCCAGTGGTCACTGTCTTCTGTAGTTAAAAGCTCATTACCAGTCTCTCTGGGAAAAAGCTCTAGTAACTGAACTCCACACAGGTCAGGGACTGTACTCAGCTTTTTCCTCAAACCTCATTTTATTAAACTCATCCAGGGAGGTAGAAATTATAATCCCATGTACAGATGAAGAAAGTAAGGGTCAGAGAGGTTCTCTGCCTTACTCAGGGCCCTCAAATAATAGTAACAAGGGCCAGTACTTGAACTCTGAACATTTCAACTCCATAGCTCTTTATCCTTCCCTTTCCATTTTCTTTGCAATGCTCAGGGGGTCAAAAAAACAAACAAACAAAAACACACACACACACACAAAATCAAGAACACTCTCTATCCCTACAGATTGTGGGTAATTGCCTCTGATAAGCAATAACACAAAGTATTTTTTGACAAAAACAGGACTCAGGACAAATACTAACCTGTCACTATTCTTTAATTAGTCAAGTTGAACTAGCTAAAGAGCATTCTTAATTTCCTTATTTATACCTTCTGAATTCAGAGGGATCAGACTGCTGTGCAACAGGCCACAAAACAAAGCAATTTATATGCATATGTGGCTGACTGTAATCATGCAATGTTTAAAAAAAAATTTGAACCAACTTTCTCAAATATCAGATTCCACATAAATGTTCACATTATATGACTTATCTTGGACAATCAGAAGGTCCCACAACCCTAGGTCCACTTTTACAGCAAAGTGCAGCCAGAGCTTAGTGGTTCCTACTACCCTGGATGAAGCATGGACTCTTTGAGTTCCCTAATTCCCCATTTGCCCTCAATTATGCCTACCTGCTAGGGCCAACCACAACTGAGATTTTTCATTATGATTATTCTGTTGCCTTTCCTGGAATAGAGAAACATTTCCCCAAACTGTCTTTTTTGATAGATTGAATGATTGGTCTCAATTTTTTTACCCATCCTTGTATCTATCCCTTTACAGTGTTCTCTGCCTGTAGAGCGAACTTTCCAAACTTGGCTCAGCCAATGAAATGGGGTAGAAATCACAGTGTCAATTCAAGACTAGGCCTTCTGATACTCTGCATGTTTTACTCTGCTACTATCATTAGAACTTTCCTGGGTCACTGATGCTTCCTCAGCTTGAGTTATAGAATGAACGAACATATGTGAAACAGAGCTGCCCTAACTTCCCATGGATGTGCATTGAGTAGCAGAAGTGCCCAACAAGGCCACCCTCCAGAAACTGAGCTGCTTGGTCAACCTGCAAATCTGGTGAAATAAGTTACTACCACTGCGTTGGTTGTAAAGTAGTTTTGGAGTGATGGTTACATAGCATTGTGATGGAATTACTAACTGATATGTTTCTACCAAAAGTAAAAAAAAAATGGCTGAAGGAATCAGATATTATTTTTTTCACATGTTTCTTATGTTAACAGTGTAGACGTTTAAGGTATTTGAGTTTGCAACTCCTGCCATAAAACTATAAACTTAAGAAAGAAATAAAGTAGGATTTGCAAAATGTTTCATATCATGACTATCTATCTAGGGCTGACAGAGCTGGCCCAGTTTCTTCCTACTGCCATCATGTTCTACTTGAAACAATAAATAGCATGGTCACTCTATCATTCAACTTGTTCCCAATTTCCATGCCAACTAGTTGAATCTCTTTTAGCTCTCCTTTGAAGCCTAATCCAATAGCTATTATTTTTGTAGGCAATACTTTTCCTGATATTTTTATAGTTATAATACCATTTGGTTGGTTGAAATCATAAATTTAGGGTATCTGATCATTACAAATCACCAGTGATGAATAAATCAAATTTAGCAGGTGCCAAACATGTAACCACCAGCCAAACAACTAACCAGACTAAATCCTAGTAGACTGAAACTTAAAGGGATTAACAGGCAAACTTATAAACAGGAAGTACTTAAAACAACAGTAATATTAAAAGCCAAGGGCCTCCAGAAAGTTCTGTTCTCAGAAGGTAATAATTACTGCATCTGAGCACATCTGCTTAAGAATCCATTCAAGTGGGAGATTCAGTCTCTATTAACCTTAACCAGAGACATTTTCATCAAAATTAATCGTGATTACTTTTTTATTGCATTTCAAATGTTATCCTTTGTTTGGGGTGGTCAGGAATGCAACTAAGCAATTCCAGACCATGCTATCTTTTATGAATAGGTCTACGAGGTAGTTATCAAGGCTCCTTATGAAAATATTGCTATGTGAAAGTTCACGGGCCAAAACAAGACATTAATTTCCATAACTAGATGGTCCTTAGAAGAGAAAAAATTACTATATATAGAAAAGACAAAGAGTTTGATGCTTAATGCCCACCCAAGTATAACTATGTAAATATCCTGCATGTACTAGACAACTCTGTTTAAATGTTTCTTTCACCTTTCCCTGTGATTATAAGAATGATCATCAATACTTATTCTGAGCATAGCCTATGCCAAGTATAATTCTAAATTCCTCATATACATTTAATTTGTAGCCCTCAGAACAACTCTGCAATAGATGTAATTATTATTCCTGTTCTACAAATGGGGAAACTGAGATGTTGGGAGGTTTAGTGACATTCCTAAGGACACTCAGTGAATTCTAAAGCTTGGAGTGAAACTCAGGCATTTTAGTTCCAGAGTTAGTTAAACAAAGATAAGGACAATGCTTACCTAACTGAAAACTGCACCCCAATCACTTGATTCATGATATTTTGTGCCCAGATTATACCATGCTCTATCAACTTCTGTACCTTTTCCGATGGTTCTCTTTCCTGGAGGGCCTTCCCTACCACTTGTCTCTCCCATCTCAAACTCATATGGCTCAAATTCCACCTGATCCATGAAGACTCAGTTTTCCTGCCTTCCTAATTCTTCAGAAAACTCATCATCTAATGATAGTCACAAACAGGTTTAAGTCCTGGGCCTGCCACTTATTAGATAAATAATTTTGAAAGTTATTTTATCTCTCATGGTCTCCTTCTTCTAATATACCAAATGGGATAATAATTGTTCATCTACCATATAATGGCTGCAGTGGACCTCTGTAGTTTTATCTGCACAGAACCCTTTCAGATACCAGGACTTATTTTTCTCTGTGGGAGGTCATCTGTCTCCACTCTTAGCACATAGGATTTAGATGAAGCTGACCCCTTCCCCTTAGGCTCCTCATGATCACATGGCCTGAACCTGAGCTGTCAATTTATATGTCCTAATCTCAAAAGCTTGTTAGAACTACTAGAGCTACTTTCCTTTGTCCTGGAATGATTACATTCTTCAGTGGTAGGCTGGCTGGTGTTGGGCATTATTTGTGGAAAGATTTCCTGAGGATCCCAGGCAATAAAGATCAAATCATCCTCCAAGTAGGAAGGAAACATATTATTGATGTCACTGTTTGGAAATCTGAATTCAGTCAAGATGAAAATATTTCCCTGGATTTTGCAGTGAATTAATGGATTTTTTTTTCCTCTTTCTTAATACAGATTGTGTTTTGTTCCTGTCGTTTGCACTCAGGAGTCCTGACTGACATAAAACTCAAATGGGATAACAGCTACTATACAGTACCTAGCATAGTGTCCAGCATATTTCAAAAATGGTACCTACCACTGTCACTTTTTTCTCTGCATTTGTTTTTGGAAAGCAGGAAAGCCTGGAGTCAGGTCTACCTTCACCCTTTACTAGGATGTCACTTCAAAACTTTTCTGGGACACTAGTTTTACCACATGCAAAATCACCAACATTGTTATAAATGAAAACATGCTTGAAAAAAGCAGGAAAATATTCTACAAATTTTAGTTATTATTATCTCAATTTTTAAGCTCCAATTTAATATCTCTTATCAGAGATTGAGAAACTAAGACCCAAAACCCAACTCTTGATTTGTCAAGAGCATTGAAGAAGCTGTGACCTCAAGTGAACATGATCCATGCTAGGGTGACCCGAGCACTCAATAGAGGATCTGATCCTAGTATTGTGCTATTGTGTAAAAACTCCAATTCAAACACACATGCAAAGGGAGCTTATATGACACCATTATGCCATGACCAGGACACAGAGAAAAAATAAATTAATGTTGACTAAATAACCTCCATCTGCCACTTGCTTCCTTGTATTTCCTACTCTGGAATAATTATTTATTTCTCTTTTGGTCAATTAAAAAGATGAACTATGAGTACATATTGAAATTATATAACTTCTTCTATCTCCAAGGAGGAAACCTAATATATAACCGAAGAAAGACACTAATTAATAAGCAAAATTTAACATGAACAGCAGCCAAGTCGAACTCGAACTGCTCTGTTTAAAGGCACACTGGAATAAATAAAGGAACTTCAAAGCAAATGCCCTGTGTTAGCTTGAATGTTTTATTGAGCATATGGGAAGAACTCCTTTGCCAAAAGTAGGGATGGTTAATGAGGAAAAATTGTTGTTTTCAGTCAGTCGGTTGGTTTCTGAGACAGGGATGTCACTGAGAGATAACTATATTCATGGAGAAAACAGACTAATGATCTATCTCAGAGCCTCAGCGTTTTGAGCAAAATAAAACCAGTTTTGTAAACTGTCTGAGATCAGAGGAATGCATCCTTTCTCAAACACCTCCATGATAATGCACATACGTTTCCCTTCTACTAACCCCAAACAACTTAAACATAAATTTAAAAAAAGGAAGCCATTTCTATGTTTTAAGATTCTTGCCAAATATAAAAAAGTAGCTCTTACCTTTTAAGGCGAGGTACAGGAACCATCAGACTCTGCATAGCATTTCTAAACTCCATCATAAGCTGCTTTCTTGGGCACCATTTTGAAAATGATGCTTCATACATGGAAAGACCTCTCAGGTCCCTGGGAGTATACTGATAACTCTGATCTCAGAGCAAAGGCAAGTTTACCATTTCTCTGCATATTTTCCTGTAGCAATGGCTACATTCCAGAGTCTGTTAGTCTCCAATTATTTAGGGATTAAGAACATAAACCCAAGCTTACCTGCAAATGCTGTGAGTTGTCAGCCATGCTATCTTCTCGCCTGCGAACTTCTTCCAATAACTGGGCATTCTTCTTCTTTTCCAGCTGTTGATTGTGTTTGAGATTGGCTACCTTCTTATTCTGATCCTTCATATGCCTGAGAAAAACCAGCACAACTTGGTTATATTCAACTACTGAAAAGCAAATGTTGTCAGAACAGATTTATTACTAAGAACAAAATATCTTGTGTGGACTCAGAAAAAAGCCAGGACCTCAGAATATTCTGTTCATTCAACTACAAATATGAATTGAGTTTTAGGTGTCAGGATGATAGTGGGGCTTCAATGCTGAATGGGACAGGTCTGCAGCTTAACGGAGTTTAGAGTCCAGAGGGCAAGAAAGACAAGTGCCAAGGGGACACAAATTATGGTTCCTAATGTTTAAGGAAACAAATAGCATGCTGTGAGAGATGATGATGTGAACAGGTGTTGGGGGTGGAAGGAGATGAATTTAGACATTGTTGAGTCCATGGAAGGTTACCCTAAGGAAAAGAGACTGTGATTGAGACTCAAAGGAGCTAACCAAGAGATACATGAGTAAAGGAGCTCCCCAGGTAAAGAGAACAAATGCATATGCAATTCCCAAGATAGGAAAGAAGTGGATGCTTCAAGTAATGGGAGGTCCGCAGGGAGGGCAAGACTGCAAAGGTAGGTGGGCCTGGCACATGGGGCCCTGTGGTTATGTGATGGGACATTTATTTTCTTCTAAGTGGTTTCTGTTCTAATTATTATTATTCTTTTGGATCATGTTCTTATTCTGAGATCATAATCCATTACTCTGATTTTAAAATAACAATTACAGGGCTCCAATCAAATACACTGTCAACACTTGGCTCAAACAGAATAACAGCTTGGCTAATCATAATGTTAAACAGAGCCCTGGTGCTTGGACTAAAAGATCTTAATGAATCTATAGGATGTCAAGTGTAAAATCATAAAGTGATCAAGTGAGTTAAAGACTAATAAAGGACTGGTTAAAAATAAGAAAACAGGAGTTACAGGCTTAATGTGGACTATTTCACCAGCAGCATTTAGCAAAACATTCCACAGATTTAGGCAACCATGTCCACAGCAGCTGTTATAAATCTAATCCAACACATGAGGAGGCAGGAGGGCAGCAGAGAAAGCTTGGGAGCAATGATTCCAAAGAGCCCAGTCATTTGAGGTCCTTCTTAATCCCTTCACCCCCATCTCCCCAGCACTGCTACATCAGTCACTGTGACTGAGCCCTGACTCTGGAGACAAGTGTATGGAGACCACTGCTCTTTTGGAAATATAAACAAGATGAGAACTAGATGATAAACAGGAAACGTGTCAAACTGAAACAATTAAAAAGAAAATAAAAAGCATTCTCCATAAGAAACTCTTTATTTCCAGTCCTCATAAAATTATGCAGTCCCTACTCCCTCCCACCCCAAGAAAATGAAGTTCAAGATAACTGTTTACCAAGTGGAACAATCCTCTATCAGGACTCCTGCTAATAAGTAAAGTCTGAACACTTCGGCTCATTAAGAAATATTTCCAGTATCAACTGAAGCAGTGATATAAGTGTTTTCAGTGGACTTAGGAGAATATGGGCAAAATCAAATAATCCTCTCCTTGGTTCCTATTTGTACTGCATAATTTTTTTTTATCTTCTCTACTGTTGCTCAACACAGTGGTGCACATGGATGAAATCACCAACTCAATACACAGGTCTGCTTTCAGAAAATTATTTTTTGATTACTCTATAAAGATGTTAGGAATGACCTCTTGCTTCCTAATTGAATGAGGATAGTATTTTTAAAGCTTGCCTTGAACAGGGAAAGCACATTTTCCACTTACTTAGGAAAATATGGCCACATCCCAGAAATAGGATATGATAAAGAGATCATATGGTTAGTGAGATTGCTTAGAGGAAATTTTATAAAGAAATATATTTTATTTGTTTAGATCATACCATCAAATAGAACCAACTGCTAAATATCTCTCCTTTCACCAAGTGCCAGTGACAAAATAAAATGGATCATCATTAGAAACATCATTTGCATAAAGAATCCCAGGAAGTTCTCAAAGCAGTGTGAACACTCAACCTTATTCTCAAGGATACTCCAGTGTTTTTCCAATCCAAAATGAAAACAAACAAACAAACAAACTCCAAGTCCATGTGTTCCTTAAAACTTTCCTGAATTAAGAATGAGAGGCTAAAAAAAACTGTCAGTTCTGACACTTTTTCAGCATTTCCCAACCATTTCTTTCTTTATTTATTTATTTGTTTTTGTTGTTGTTATTGTTGTTTTGTTTTGTTTTTTTAGTTGTAGATGGACACAATACCTTTATTTTATTTATTTATTTTTATGTGGTGCTGAGGATTGAACCTAGTGCCTCACACATGCAAGGCAAGTGCTCTACCGCTGAGCTACAACCCCAGTCCTCCCAACTGTTTCTTGAGACACCAGGAATTGATAAAGAAAAGTTGTGTTTTGAGTAGTACTGCTTAGGATGTGGCAAATTAGGATCAATAGAACAAGGTGATCAGAATCATCATTTTGTACATGTGACTACCAATAGCTACCTATCAAGTACACACACTCCTTTGTGCTTCCAACATATTTCTGAGACTTTTAAATATCCCTAGCAGTCAAACCCTTTTTATTATTGCTGTATATACATAGGTGACTGTATGACCAATGTGATTCTGCAACTTGTACAATCAGAAAAATGAGAAATTATACCCCATTTGATTCAAATGTATGAACTGTCAAGATCATTATACTGTCATGTGTAGCTAATAAAAAAAAAAAAAAAAGCATCCTTGAAAACCAAAAAGGGAATGAATTGATTTGCAGAGGTAGACACGAGGCAAGGGATGGCATGGCTAGGGTAGGGAATAGTGAGCAAATACTGAGCAGAGCCTTAGCTACTAAATAGCCCTTCTCTTGGTTATCCCTCAGGGAAACCCTAATGTTGTCTGAAGCAGAGGTTGAAATGGCAATTTAGCGGGGAGGCAGATGAGGACTCAGGAAATTTTAAAATATTAGATTTCTTTGCCTTTCCCCAAAAGCCCAGTGATACTCAGTGAAAAAAAATGACCACAGGGACTTCCTAGTAACAACCTCAGCATTTCCAATAATGAAATTTGCAAGTGACCTATTAGGCTCTATATCTTTCCCCACCTGCAGAAGTAAACCCACACTGAATAAAATCAACATGCCAAACTTAATACAGTCCCTAGCTATCTCCAAAATCCAGTAGGGCTCTAGCAGTGTAGACCACAGCACTCTCTTGCTGTATTGCCCTAGAGGAAACTATCATTTGTACCTCTTTCCAAACTCTCACTCAGTTAGCAAGTTGGGCAGTTCCAAGCTTCCACCCAAAACTGATCTGCTTCCTGTTTGGGGGGGGGGGCAGGCATTCTTTGGAAGGAATTTTTCTCCAAGGAAACATCATTAAAAGCATATCCAAAATGCAAATTAAAATAATAATAAAAGCAATGATTGGGGAGGGGATAGTTGAAAAATATGATGGTAAAATCAGTGTTCAATGTTTGACTTAAACTGACTAAGCTTTATGAAGCAGTTTCATAAAACAGGTTATGTCACTTTTCAAAATTTAGCCACCATTAAGGAATTTGAACAAAATTTTAAAAAATTCCAACATAAAGTCAACAATGGATCAGAAAGAATGCCAGAGAGAACAGACTTTAGCTATTTTCACTAGAGTGATCTGTCAAATTAAAGTTAGAAAATGGTCTCTAACTTGCTGGTGACACTTCCAGAATTACACTGCTGGGAGTACTGGACAGTCCTCCAAGGATTTGTGTATATTTTTACATAAAGTAGAAAATAAAAATTTCTTTTTAAATCTCAGCAGAAATAAGATGCTATTACCCATCTGTACTCAAAAACTTTAAAAGATTGATAATATTCATTGTTGGAGAGGATTCAGGAATTCACTTCTCATACATGGGAAGGAGGAGTAGAATTCACAAAAGCATTTTTGGAAACCAATTTGGCAGTATCCACTAAAGTACGCATACCTTTTTCCCAACAAATCCTTCTTCTAGGAAAGAAGCCTGAAAAAATGCTTGCACACATGCACAAATATTTATATAAATACATTTTCATTAGAACTGTTAAAAGTGAAAATTTGAAAAATACCTAACTTTCCATCAGAAGGAAATTGACTGAAAAAAAAATGTGTTCATAATATGGTGTCAGGCTAGCTTTGAAAATTAAGAACAAATGAAAAACCTTCAAGACATGTTATTAACTGAAAAAAAAAAAAGCAGGTAGCAGAACAATATACATCATCGGATCTTATTAACATTAAAATATAAAAGTTTATTTTTATGTGTATATACTCATATGCATGGAAATCGAAATTTCTGGAAATGCCATACCAGTCTATAAACAATGGTTGACACCGGGAAAGGGAATGGGATTAGAGAAGAAGGGAGCTTTAAGTTTTACTGTATGTGTTTGTGTGTATAAGTGAGGTACAAATACACACAAGAAAATGCATCAATGTTTAATACACAAGGCAATGATTTTTGACCAATCAAAATATAGAGCATTACCATCACCCAGACTCAAGTCCCTTCCCCCTGCTCAGAAGTGATCATTGTTCTAACATTTATCCATTTGCCTCTTCTTCAGCTTCATATACATGGAATCATTGTGTCTGGCTTCTTTCACTCAGCATAACATTTTTTCAGATATTTTATTGTATATCATTCCATTCCTTTTTTTTTTTCTGTGTAACAGTCCATTGTATGAATATGCTAGATTTGATTATTTATTTCTTACTTGATATTGGGCTTTTTTCTATTTTTATGTTTATAAATAAAGTAGCAACACACATTTTTATACCAGACATTTTGTGGACATATGCTTTCATTTCTTCTGGATAAATAACTTGATGTATGGTTAACCAGAGGTGTAAATGGTACAACCTTTACAGAAGACCACTTCTGGGCTATATGATCCTGCCAGGTGTGGCTGCAGTGCAATGGCTAATAACATAAATTTTTGAACCAAACTGTCTGGAGAAGTTTGTCACTTTCTAGCTGTGTGACCACAGACAAGTTCCTTAACTTCTCTATACCTCTGCTTCTTTG